AAAAAAAAAAAAAAAAAAAAAAAAGACGGGGAGAAAGAGGAGGAGGGGTATGGCAAGAAAAACAGGGGGTGTTGGGGGGGGGGGGGGGGGGGAAGCAAAAGTATGCCATAAAACTCCTGATTTTTTTTTTTCCTTCCTAGAAATCTGCATCACTGCCTAGATATTATCATGAGACTATTTCAGCTAATTTCAAATCTACATATGACTAGGAAAACAAACTGTGTACTTACTCTACCATCTTTGACCATTCAGGAGGTTCTTTCAAAGTCATGAATACACAATTTGTGAGAATAGTAAACATAATAAACATGCTGAATAATGTTGGATTATGTCAAGGAATATGTGACAAATTCTAGACAAATATTATCATTTACCAGTTCATTTCAATACATGTCTACTCAAAAATGTCTACTTAATCAAATGAGATAATCAGGCATAACTTTGTTCCCTAAATGTATCCATGTTCTTAGGATACTGGCTTATAAATATTCATTGTATGAGTTGATGAATTCAATTGAAATCATATCTATAAATCCCATATAAAAATGTTATGCCAAAATAAAAAGTAACGTCTATGTTGAATCCAAAGTTTTATTTCACTAACAGAAAATCAGAGGGAGTCTGGTAATATCTTTTCCAACTAGCAAATTGCATTAAAAAGCATAAACGTTTGTGAGTTGCTGCTCACTTCATCAGATACTTGCGGGGGGGCACAATGAGCAAGGAAGGAAGGAAAGAAGGGAAGGAGGGAGGGAGGAAGGAAGGAAGGAAGACAGACAGACAGACAGACAGACAGACGAAAAGAAAGAACTTGTTCCGAGTCAAAAGATACCTGCATATAGAAGGAGTCTTCTGCTGGATTCAATTCATACAATTTTATCTATTTAAATAAGCCAAATAATGTTATCAAAGTAATTCATTTAAGGAAGAGCAATTACACCTCTCTAATAAAACATACTGATGCTGCTGTTTAAAAGCAGGCTGCATATAGTTTCATAAGAGCAAGTTTTAAACAACTTCTGTTGTAAAAGGATATGAATGAACTAAAATTTTTATAGAAATTCTTCGAAGAGTACTGAAAGGACTCAGCATGTATAAGGCAGGTGTGGCACTGAATCTGAAGATAGTCTTCCCTTTATTCAATACTATAAATGTCTAATAAGAGAGAACAAAACATATAAATGCAATATTGTAATCATGTTAATTTTATTTCTTTAGCTTTACACCAAGGTCCAGTTCAAATGTTCCAGAAAATCATGGTTTCCCATTATGAGAAGAAGCCACAGTGAGCCTCATGTTATTTCCGTCCTTCGTAAGTGTGCAAAAAGACTTTTCAAAACTTTGAGTTTCATTTTAAACAAGGCACAATTCCATATAATATTCCTGTTCTGGTATACATTTATTTATAGAATATATTACCAGCTTTCATTCTAACAAACAATTACACTGGGGTTTCAAAACAGAATCAAAACCACAAAACCTTCAAATTACAACATCTTAAAACTATAAAACTATCAGCTTGCAAAATCTTAAAAATTACCACAAGATTAATGAGACTCAGACGACTTAGCATCAACCATAAATGAACGGAGGATTTCAACACTTTTACATATATTATTGCCTATTTTAACTATTTTTTAGTAAGCCGTACTGACCCATCATACCATCATAATTCTGTACAATAAATGTAAAGGCGCTCCTACTTATCATATTGTCCTGTTATAGGTTGGGAGATGGAGATTGAATATACCCACTTTAATTTTGAGATAACTGCATTTTTTGTCTGAATTGTAAATTATGATTAGTTTTAGCAATGATCTATCCAAACAAACCATGAACTTAAAGTTTGAAATTGGCTACATATAACACTAACTCAGTTCAATAATTCACCTAAATGGAGAGCCTATCAAATATCAGTTTATTTAGGTAATTAGTTCGAACTAACTTCCCCATTTCCATTTTTTTTAAAGAATTGCAGGTAATTAAAAGACAACAGTAACAAAAAAGTAAAACCTTTGAATTTCCTCTTTTCAGGTGAGTGAATGATGGCTTGAATCGGAGATACATGTCATACATTGGGAAACCATGATTTCCTCTTAGATCTGACCAAATCATTGTGTGACAATTTTATTGACAAATGACAGATATATCTTCTGCAAAGCCAAATCTGTGACGGCTGGATGAGAAACAGAACATTCTAGTGTTCTCCAAAACCTTCTGCTCTTGGACTGGGAATGGTAGGCTTTGAACATACCTACTGTATAGTATTTATTGCAAGAAATGAAAAGTAAATAATTATTTTATGGTTCCTTATTTCAACAGTTGTGAGTTCACCACTTTAAACATATCACAAAGATATGGCAAATAAGGCCTCAACATTCCATTTCAGTACAAATGCTAGTTGATTAAGCAAGAAGAGCATATTTGTGTTGCATTTATGATGATGTTAAAATAACTGGCAGGTAAGAAGCATTTACTAACCAAACACTGCAATCAAAGTTACACCCTGGCTTGTTTCATCCCTGTTATGCAGTGCACAAATACGCATTCAATGAAAGCCATGCTCTGGCTTTGGTTTTTGTGAACACTTACCTTTTTATTTGCATAATAAGGGTCCAAGTCTTCCAAGGGCTCAGACACCAGGTGTGGAGGAATGTCTCCATAAATAAAAGGCAGTGGCTTCCCTGCTTCCAAGTCAGTGTTTGGCTTTGTCTTCTTTTCATAATTGTCCTCCTCTCTGGGCTCTTGATCTACTTTTTGCTTGTCTTTTTCTTCAGCAATCCTTCGCTCAATTGCTGCAAGTGACTCCTGAGTGAATCGGAAGAAGCAATCAGGTCCTGGGGTTGCAAGCAGTGCTTGTGCCATATTTTCATTCTGCAAGTTTTAATTACTTTTTAATTCTTATGAAAGAATGACCTATGAGAAGGAGGAAAATCATAAGAATTAAAAAAGAAGAAAGAAGCAACAACAGGTTGTGTGTGTGTGTGTGTGTGTGTGAGAGAGAGAGAGAGAGAGAGAGAGAGAGAGAGAGAGAG